CTACTCTCCCCCCCCCCCCGAGCCTTGGCAGCCAGCTTCATTTGTCCCGTTCTGTTCCGTTCCGTTTTAGATTTTTAGATTTTTGCCACGCCAGTTTTAGGTTATTTTTCTTGTGCATCCGCTGGAGAGTGACAGAGACAGTGAGAGGGAAAGTGAGAAATCACCTCCAGAAGGGAAGGCCACCCTTTTCCTTCATTCTCCTCTTGGGATTTGGGGCACGCATGCAGCCAGTGTGATTTTCAGGCCGCCGGGTCTGGGACGCGAACTGTGGTGGGCCATGTGGGATTCCAGCGCCTTAGCCACCAGGCCACCTGCTGGCACCATTATTTAGTTTTTAACAAGGTGCAGGGCTAGATGTCCTCTGAGGTCCCTGTGTGTCACCATCCGCTGTCACTGGGGTGGCTAGACAAGAGTCGTAAACCAGCCTGAGCACTGCCATGCACCAGCAGTGTCTCTGCACTCCCTGGGCTCGGCTTTTCCCACTGAGGTTGGGGCACTGACCCCATCTGTTCCAGATCACTGACCTGGCCCTTCCCATTGGCGCCAGGCAGGAAGTTTCTTTGGAGGTTTTTCCAGGGGATGAGTTTGAGTCAGGTGCTGACGGGTCCCTGACCAAGGCTCCAGGTCGTGCCTTCGAGGGTGCTCTCTTAGATCAGGATGAGACTTGCTTTTACCCAAATATCTCCCCCACCAACTGAGCTGTGTTCTCTTGTCTCCAAGAGCCCACTGCATGTCCTTCTCGGCCCCAATCTCCAGGAGAAGGAGGTTGAGGTCAGGAGACAGCATGGTCCCCCCCTGCCTGGTTTGAACCCCCTGCTTCTCAAGGGGACAGCTAATGTCTCACTGTTGGTCCTGAGGGTTCAGGAGTGGGCAGGCTGTGGTAGGGAAGGTGGCCCAACGTGTCCTCCCCTGCCCAGGGGTCAGACTGACCCCTGCCTGTCCTGCCCGGCCGCCCAGGGCCAGCTGAAGCAGCTGCAGGAGGTTCTGGGCAGCCTGAGTCTGCAGGAGGAGAAGACGCGAGCGACCCAGCACCGCCTGGACCAGCAGGTGAACAGCGAGACGCAGCGGAGCAGCAGCCTCGTCGCCCAGCTGCGAGCCATGGTGGCCGAGCGCGAGGCCAAGGTGCGGCAGGTGGAGCTGGAGATCGGGCAACTCAGTACGCAGGTGAGCAGAGCGCTGGCATGACTGGCTCCCACTCCCGAGCCCCGGCACATCCACCTGGCACCCACAGAAATCATGGCTTCTCCCGCTGCTCCCCCGCCTGCCGTAGCCTCGTCTGTTCCACGCCTTCCTGGCTCTAGTTTGGCCATGGGCTTCCATCCGGATCCCGATTCTATTCTGCATCCACCTTTCCTTTATAAAACACAATGTGGGGGACCAGCAGTTAGCGTAATGGCTATGTTGCTGGACTCCCACGTAGTCAACCGCGGTTCGAGTCCCGGACCCGGTGGCTTAAACTCACACTGGGCGCGTGTGCGTGCGTGCCCAAGATCCCGAGAGGAGAATGGAGGAGAAGGGATTGCGGCATGACCATCCCCCCTGGGGGATGATTTCTCGCTTTCTGTTTCTCTGTCTCTTTCTGTCTTTCTGGCGAGTGCACGCGCCCTATAGCAAAAACCTCTCCAAAAAAAAAACACAACGTGGGCATGTGTGTGTTCTGT